ATATATATATATATATATATATATATATATATATATACAAAAAAGGAGAAACATTGACAATAATAAAAATAATGTAATAAAATAGCAAATTCAAACAAAATTAGGTCAAGTCAAGAGTAAGGGGATGGTAGTGAAGCCAAATGAAAGAAAGAAATATCTCAAAACAATTCTAACTCAAGAATAACCCCTTTCCAAGCTAGAAACATGAAAAAAAGAAAGTCTTCAGCGTCAAGCGCCGTATTCTTCCCTGTACTGAACTGTAAAAAAATAAATACAAAGATAGCGTTCACCTCTTACCTGACGTTTTTAACAATGTTTTGTCTACGTGTTTGCAGAATGGAAGTCGTATGACATCTTTTACAACATTATACGACATAATTTTAACAATATCAACAGCAACACTCGTACAACACGCAGCTGATCATTGCCTAGCGATATAAAAAGTGCAACACATTTTTTTCCTTGTCAACAAAAAAAGTGAGGTGCGCTGTGTTTTGGAATGGAAAATCGCCTTCACAGTAGTCGGGCCCTTATGTGGTTTAAGTTTGCCACTGAGTCTGATGGGTTTTATAGTTAGCGACGTGTCTGAAATAAAACTTGTCCTTAAACTTTATTCGCTCTTAAGACTTAAAACATGAAAACTGGCAAAGAAAACAGTTAATGTTAATGCCCATCCTTCCGGCAACATTACAAAAGCAATACACCGTTGTATTGCATTATAAATTGTGTTCTGACACATTTCGGTGCATGAGCTTCTCTGCTGAGCATGTTTCAGCCATTACTGTTTATCTCTGTTATCTTGCAGTCTCCGTGTAGCTTAAAAATGCTCATTCCCTGCTTTATTTATTCCTTTATTTATTATTTATTTGATTTTATTTTTACTATTATGTTTTTCTAAGCCTTGACTTTTTTATGCGGTGTAATATAAAGCCGCTGCGAGGAGCCGAATTAAGCTTACAGTGGCTGTTTCTTTGGAGCGCTCCGGCCTGCCAGTCTGTGACTGATTAACTAGACTCCAGACGCAGGACTCTATCTTTCACTCCCACTTGCCACTTAAGGATAGAATAAACCTGAGGGAGTTTTTGATGGATTCTGCAGATGCAGTATATTCATTGTAGTTTAGGGCATCCACAGGAAA